TAGTCCAGTTCAAGTACGATAACAGATTAATTAATAAAATAGGCTGAGACCGATAATCTACAAATGCAATAATCAACAAATGACATAAAAGAAATATTGTCAATAACATCAGAAGGAATCCTCGCCTCGTTACGTGTTGTTAAAATGACTCTGTAGGTGGTTTCAGTAGCAGGGAAAACTGTATCCTTAGAAACTGTCTGAAAGGCACTATGAGACAAGTTACAATGGGAAAGAACACAAAGACTGAATCTTTTTTATACAATGGGAACTATTATGAATAAATAGTGTTCATAGATTTGAAATTAGAAATATATAATATTCTCTTGTTGGAAATTAGAGAAAAAAGTAATCATGATTTTTTAAGAATAACATTATTTTAGCTTTGATAGAACCACTTTAATCAATTAAATATAGTTAATAATAATGTGTTAGTAAAAATTGTCATCAAACAAAATGGGTTCAATATTACAATTTTGTATTAGCAACACCCTGCTCAATGCTTGCAATTGTGCATTCTCATTGGCAGTCCCAACTTCTAGAATGAGTCTTACCCCCACTCATCCGAGCAGCGTGCGTTTGCACTCGTGGGGAGTTGTCCTGATTATCACCTTTGCAATTTACACAATGCAGTGGAGTAGCGCAGGGTTCAGCTTCGTGCATCGATGTGCCTCACTCTCCTCACTGGGCTATCTGCCATGCAACGCTGTTGAGTGACCGAACCTTTGGCACTTAGAACACCACCAAGGGTAGGTACGTATTGCTGTACATGGAGGTTGTAAAAAACATAAAAGATTCTTTCAGGGAGAGCTGGAAGATCGAATGTTTGAATGAGAGTGGAAATGGGGATTTCTCACCTACGCTTCATCTTGATTTTATAAATGTCAGTCACACCTTGGAAGGAAAAAGCTTGGATTACATCAGTAACATATCCAACAGCTTGAGTTGATGATCTGATGTGTTTTTGATCAATTTTTTTTGTCATAATGATCAGAATTGTGGACACTCTGGATTGTTATCTTGTCCTGTGTAGCAAGACTGATTGTTCTAATTATGTATTGCTATTGTACAATTGTGGGTAAATTAATGGTTATTTTTTTAAATTTCAGATTAGGGACTGGTGCCTGCTAGGGACGCGATGCAAATCAAATATCCTTGACAACATTCCATTGCGATGAATGCAGTACACAAGTCTCGCAACTGTGAATAAAGTCACTGAATGAGGAGTGGTGTAATTAAAGGATACTTGATTTGCGTACTCGGAGTGATTAGAAATCCTGGCACATAGGACAGCCTCTCATCCTTAATAGTGATGAGTAAGTACATTTATTAGTGGTTTGATATATTTTTGTGAAAATGTTGCAAAACTAAGTGTGAGTTTGACTTGCTAAAAAAGTGCTGTTAGCAAAGGCTGGTTTCTTGTGATTTTGATGGTGTTAAATTTTTTGCCATGGTGCAATCTGTAATTGGTGTGACTAAACCCAAGAGCAAATTTCTTAAGTATGTGACATTGCTTGACTGAAAGGTGTCCAATATTAGGAAATTTGTGACATTGTATTATGTATAGAGCAAATGTAAGTATTAATTGCTCTCTTGAAATACACACAGTACTTACATTTGTTCAGCATTTGTGAATATTTTTTAAATACATTTTCTTGTACCTTGTCTATGGATGATTGTAGTATGGATAAATGTATTCGTCAGAAAATGAGATTCATATAAATTCAGGCAGTTATAATTAGAGGATAATCAACAAACATTTCATTACATATTTTTGTACAAAGCTATTAATATATAATGGGCTTTGCCGCAGTGGTTACATTTGTGGTAAAAATATTTGTATGTTTTGTAAAGTTAAGATTTGCACATTTAATTCTGTACATTAAATTTTGGAATTCTGCACTAATGGTAGACAGTAATGATAGGTAAAAAGAGGCACTTATTAATACTCACTTTGCTAACAAGTTATTGAGAGAATTCTTTGACATTAAAGACATTGTGTTTGCGTGTTGTAACAGTGCGAATTTGTAAAGAACCCTTAAACCCATTGAAAGATGTACTAGTCAAATGCCTGCATTATTTTGTTAATTCAGTGATATGAGTTTTGTGTAATTTGGTAAAAGATTAATGACTTGTTATTGACTGTGGTTTTGTTGATGCTCTACCTTAGCATTGTATTAATTTATAAAAAATTAAATTGAACATTCCATTTTCTTAGCAATTTGCATTCTTGATATTCATGTTCCTTGTCTTTCAGGGGATATTCTGCGACAAGTAGAAATAATTCTGGATGATAATGGAGTAAAATTTGTACACATGTAAAATTTTGTAACAGACTGACACCAGGTGCTCTCATTATTCAGTGAATTGCAATTTATACTGTATTTAATTTATGAAAATTTCTTATGAAATTTCAGTTTGCTTACTAGTTTTCTAATATATCAAAATGTAACAAAATCTATGTAAAAAAAATGTAATTTTTTATTATTTGTTCTTTTATAAAAGAAGTGAGGAGAAGTTTTGTGGAAGCCTGCGTAATTATCATTCATTAAAAACTTAAATACAATTCTTTTTAATTATGTATATGTGTGTGCGTGTGTGTTACGTATTATATTTAGTTTTAGTTTGTAATGTACTACTTTGAAAATTGGTGAATTTTGATACACATTATTTTGAATTCTGCTCTTTGAGGCCAAGAATTTGCCAGTGCAAAGCCTTCCTCACCTTACTACAATTTTGCAAAAATTAAAAGGGTAGTGTATATTTCCCTATTAAGGAAACACATTCTAGAAAAGGTTGCCAATATTTCATATCATACTGCAACCTTGTTTAGGACGAAATGCTTTTGCGAATAAATTGTGCATGCTTTTAAAATTCCAATTTTACCCCTGAAGAAAATCATTAATGACTGAAATGTTGGCAACCTTGCCTACAAGGTGTTATCTCATGGAGAGTTAAGTATTATATATTGACTCCAGCCACAGAAGTGTGCATTTTCATAGCAGTTACAATTCATGAAAGCAGTTAGGGGTCATGTTTTATAAATTACATTGTACAAATTTGGATGATTTTTGAAGACCATCCTTACCCTTGTAATGCAAACTTAAACCCTTTTAAATAATTCCATAATGTTTGTGTGCATGACTTATGCTCACCCGCACCTCGCTCAAGAGCAGTACTAGGAAAAAAATCATTGTAAGTTGACTCCTCGTGCTGTCCCCAGTTTTACCATCGAAAATGAAATACATTGTAAACTCTGTCAATGTGCCCCTAGAAGTACCACGAATTATATTAATGGCTAATGGAAATGTTTACATACTACAGGTATAACTGCTCATGAAATGGGTGGTTTCTTTTTTCTCTATTTAATAAGTAATCGCGAAAAGAAAAGAAATTTGCGCTTTACATTGAAAACTAAGAATTCTCTTTTTAAAAAAAAGAAAGCATTTCTTTTTCAGAAGGATTGAAACGTTCATAAAATGAAAAAAAGATTGGAATTAAAATAAATATATTTATCACAGTTTTCTTTAAATTTTTTGATACATTAGATAATTACAACCTATATGAGAGTTTAAAAGTTCAAATGTAAAGAATTTGTTACAATGCATCAAATTTATAATGAATATATTAGCAAATGAACATGAGTTATTATTATTTTTTCACTCTTATCAAAAAAAAAACTTCCACACGAATAATTTGTTAGTAGCCTTGCATGTTCCTGAAAATAATTCACCAACATCATTATACCTGTCATTCTATCTACAAATTACAAATAACAATTCAGTTATGTAGTTGAGCAACTGATAATACCAATTGCATTAATAAGCATATTTTTATTACTCCTTTGACTTCAAACATTTCTAAGTTCACTGCCATGCTCAAGGAGGTTTTTGGCATTACTTTGCAAGCTGCTCAAAAATATTCAGCAATCCGAAAGTATAAAAACGTGAGATAAATAGTTAGTATAATGTACAACTAATGGAAACAAAATCCTACGTACTGCCTACTTTGAATTCACAAAATTTTGAATCACAATGCCACACTACAATAAGTTTTCCTTGCTTTGCAAGCTGCGGAAAAATACAAAAATATTGAATAGTAAGTAAAGTCCCCAATTGCCTTATTGTTCGAATAATATTTTTATGTACTTGGCAGCGAGCAGATGACTGAGGAGAGGGGATTCTGTTATCTTAAGAGAGGCTTCAAATTCTGCTGACGTCTCTGCAGAGTTGCCGATAATGACGGAGAAAAAATGAATCTTACAGCGAGAAGCAACTGTAAATTGAAGAGGGCTATTACTTTAATTATGCATCGTCTGCGCGGTTCTGTATTGTCTACTGTTATATACTCCTAAGGCGATTTGATTCTTGCTACTGTTGTAGTCTGATGAGTAGTGGCTCATGATGATGCCATTAGGGTGTGCAACGCCTCTCTTCACTCCCCCTCCGTCTGTCAAAATTCGTTGGGTCGTCAATCTTTCCTTCAAGTGGGTGCGAGTGCAGGCGGAAAGGCCATGCGTCCCAGGTGCTCGGCGAGGGTGAGGCGGCGCGACAGGCCATAAACGACCCAAGTCTCAATAACAGAAGTGAGGGGCGCGTGGTCAGGTACCACCTTTGCAACGGCCGCTGGCCGTGCTAGCCGCTGTCGCCCAGCACGCTTGGGAAACCGGGCATGATTTCGGTTTTCAGGACACCAGGGTGCTCGCCAGAGAAGACCGATGGTGGTCCAGACACCCCCATAATATTAACGGCGACGCAGGGTTGCGCCTTCACGATGCCTGGAGGTCGTTACTTCGGGCACGCGCCCGGGTGCTCACCGAACCGGACCGCTTCACGCCGTCCGACCCCCGGCCGCGCCATGCGGGCCAATCGCGGACCGGCTCGCGCCGTCCGATCCCGAGCCATTCTGTACCGCCTGACGGACCGTTTCGCGCCGTCCGATCACGAGCCACCCGACTTGACCCTCCCTCCCCACGCTAACTGGCGGCTTCCGATTGGCCAGCTGCTCCAGCCAATCGTACTCGGCCCAGACATGCATATACACCCGAGCGATGACCATCACGGCGCATACCAGCCCTGAGTCATACCAGCCCAGCGCATACCAGCATATACACCTGAGGAAGACCACGACAAGATGGTCGAAACGTCCGCAAGACAGCCTTCGATGCGGCGTCACCCGGACAGCCAAGATCACGGTTGGCCGCGGAAGAATGTGATGAAGTGGACACAAGAAAACCACTTGATTTTCTCAGCGGAAAAGTCTCAGGCAATCTGCTTCTCTCGCCGCAAACACTAACACACAAAACGTTTCACGCCGCCCAAGCAAATCAAAATCAGAACCCAAAATCTCTAAGGCAACCTACCTGGGTGTCACTTTCGACCGGAGCGTGCGCTGGCACTTATATGTCAGACGAATCCGTTCGAAACTTCACCTAAGGGTCCGTCTTCTACAACCTCTCCTCAAGGAACCTTCTCTAGCCTTGGATCATCGCCAGGCACTCTATAAAACGTGCTACCGGTCTGTGGCCACCTACGCCGCGGCGACGTGGTGGACCACAGCACAGAAGTACAAGGACACACGAGTTAATTCAGAATAGAGTTCTGAGACTCATAGCTTGGCCTCCGTTTCGGAAACGACTGAAAGTACTGAGGAAGGAACTTGATATCCAGTCCTTCACTCAATGCTTGAGACGGATATCATTCAGTGAAGCCTACCAAGCCTTTCAATCAGACGAAGCTCCGGTTACGTTAAAAACCTTTCAGAAACATGTCCTTATCATAAGGCATAGACGACAAGCTCTCCCCTCGGACATAATAAGGGCATAGAGCGAAACACTCTAAAATGACATAGTCACAAATATGATTTAACAAATCGCCAAACTGGTAAGCGACTAAGGTTCGTTGCGAACCTACACAAACAATTTACACCTAACAGTAAAAACGCAAAAGGCGTGTGCACTGCTATTACGATCATGATGCGATCGAACACCACACTGACCTTTGGCTATGCCGAAAAAAAATGGCCGCGAAAGCCTACGACTTCATATAATGACGTAAAATCGAAAAATTTGTTTTTTGCCCTTTTCTTACTTTTGACACTATCTCTTCGGAATTTAGATATCTTACATGCAACGTAACGAACTGTATTCTTTTGACAATTTTCTAAGATGTGCAGTAATTTCTGATGATATTTTCGATACTTAAGACGAACATAAGCAACTATATTCACTGAACATCTTCCTTTTTAAAATATTTTTACAAGTTGTTTTAGAATTTCAAGGCGTTTGATTTCGGAACAAAATGACTATTTTTGTTGGTTTCCTCTGCAAAAAATAGGTAAATTATCGATTAATACATTCAATTTCGCTTTGGGGCCCACCCCTTTTTCAGACTTTCAGAATTTTTCAGACATAGAAAATGCATGTTTCACTTTTTGTGCTTAATAATCTGTCATAAGTTTGTGTGATTTTTAACTCACGATTTTCAACCTGAATTGGTAGAAAAATTGTGCTTCCTTCGATCTGTTAAATTACCAACTTAAAATTATTTACATTCTTAGGTATACGAAATATATATTTAAGTTTTTGAATAATAGAAAAATGGGTAATTAATATATAAGATACAATTCACTACAGTAAATTAAAAAGAAAAAAACTCAAATTTGTGGAAAATTAATAGAAAATAGTTTTCAAAAATTATAAATCTGTATTCAAACAATTAATACAATACAAATTATTAATATAACAAATCTTTATCTCTTTAAATGAACTTTCAATTTTTTGTGCAGTTTGTATTTTTACTTTCCCGTATACTACGTATATACGGAGAAATATTCGTAGTATAGGAAAAGTTACGTAATGCTGCGCGGAACGGCGGACTTTCGGCAAAAAAGTTCATTCTCACAGCGACAGAGCGGACAAACCCAGTTGCAAAATTAAGAGAAAATCTTCTAACACGTGGTGTGGCCAGAATCCCTGTTTTGTGGGTTCTTGGTACAGAAAAATCAATTGACGGGAAAACGTCCATCTGTCTGTGAACACTACTAGCGCCTAAATGCGTAGAGGCTTTTTCTTTTCTTTCTTGTTCTTTTTCTTATTTTTTCACAATTGTAGAAAACCAATACATCTCGCCATCCGCGAGGCTTTACGCTAGTCAGAAAAGCTATTGAACAGCCTTTAAACTAACATTCTTTACGAAATTTGGGCACTGGTACTTTACCAGAAGCCGTCTCATCAAGTCCGGACATATTTCATCACAACTGTTTCCCACAAACAACAAAAAAAAGGCCGCCAAATATTTTCCTTTAAGATTTATTACGCGCACGATCGTATGTTAAACGTAACTCAGCCAGCAAAATACTTCATATAATCAACTACTATAACTTATATATATAATCATAATAATATACTTACGATAATACTAATAAATATACATATTATATATATATATATTTCTTCTATAATATGACAATGAATCGCAAAATCTGTTGGTAAGCGCATAACTCAACAACGCCTGGACCAATTTAGCCAATTCTTTTTTTCAAATGTTCGTTGAAGTTCAAGGGTGGTTTTTACGTCGAGAAAACTTTGAATAATTATCGGAAAACCCTAAAAAACAGCCCTTTTCTTTTTTCCATTCAAATGTTTTCTAACTAAAACGTAGAGTCAATTTGAGCTTTGTAACTATTGTATAAAGTTGTTTAAACAATGAATGTTCCTAACGTCAAAGAGTAGTCAATTTGCACTTTATTACCGTTATACAAAGTTCAAATTCAATCATATCTATCAAAACTGTGCGTTGGAGCATAGAATACATTGTTGGAGGATTTAATGTCGCGTTTCGAAACTATTAACAAAATAATCTATAATATAGAAATACCTCCTATTAGACGAAGCAATTTAGGTAGAAGAACCCGAAATGCTACAAACCAAGCTAATTACCGATCTAATCATGCTGCACAAGAACGCCACGACCGAAATAAACGTGAAAGAATTCGGATATCACAAATGCGTGAATCGCGAGCGCTACATTCAACTAATAATTGTGCAAGTTTGAATCGAGCTGCTTTCAGTTACGATGTGTCAATTGACTACAGTAACTACCAATGTGTTGTTATTGGTTCTATGAACTCGGTTTGCTCGTATTGTAAGGCATTGAAATATAAAAACGAAGCTAATGGATTGTGTTGCGCAAATGGTAAAGTGAAATTGATACCATTGGAACCACCACCAGAGCCATTGTACTCATTGGTTTCAGTAATAAGAACAGATTCCATACACTTTTTGACAAATATCCAACAATATAACAATTGCTTTCAAATGACTTCATTTAGGTCAATAAATGTAGTTCGGGAAAATTTTATGCAAACTTTCAAGATATGTATCATAGCAGTTAATCATAATTGTTTTATGTTCTGTCACCTAAGTAGATGTGTCACTAATCTTTACCAAGAGTTGAATCGAGAAAAACTGAATGATCTCAACACTTTGAAAGTATTAATTCAAACAAATCTTCCACTGTTGAATGAACAACAGAAGAATGTATTTCATACTCTTAAAGTAACAAATGATGAAACTGGAGGGATTTACTTCTTAGATGCACCTGATGGTACAGGAAAATCTTTTCTGATTTCATTAATAT